TTCTAATTCATCTTGGAAATCGAGGTGGGATAACGAAGGAGATAGAGTTGTTTCGAAAAGAAGAAATGAAATCCCAAAGGGAAAATATGATGGTGCTAGCAGAACAACCCCTAAAACAGAGCCACGACCCGCTAGAAATTAGGATATCAAGTGCTTCAGATGCTTGGAAATAGGACATTGCTTCTCAATGCCCAAACAAAAGGACAATGATCTTGCATAATGGAGAGGTGGTGAGTGACAGTGAGTGTGAAAAAATGTCCCACGGTGAAATTTTATCATGAAAAGTTCAAGTTTCACATTCTCTGAGTATCAAGACTTGCCAAGATAAAGAAGATGAGATAACCAAACGTACACAATAATTAGTTTGTGTGCTACACTGAGGAAGAATTAAATCTTCATATTAGCTACTTCACAATTATCAAACATTATTGGATTATGCTAGTGGTACCTAGGAGAGTACCGAGTACCCAAGGAGTTATACCCCACTCACATGGGGGTGAGACCCACTTAAATTAAAAAAATATTTTATGTAAGTGGGTCTCACCCCATGTGAGGGGGTGTAACCCCTTAGGCACATCTTTTGATATACCATTGGCATAATCCAACATTATTAATATCCAGAACCCAAAAAACTAGAAATTTCCTGGCAAAAAAAAAAAACCAAGTTACAACAATACATATAGTAGTAATATATTGAACATTTGTTTGATACCCATTTTTCTTAAATTACATTTTTCACTCTCTTCTTTTCAATCATACATTATTCAATAAAATAATATTACACACAAATCCAAATTTATTCTTTATTTTTTAACCATACATTCTCCATCAATCTACTATTCAAAAATGTATTCTTACTAAAAAAATGGAAAGCAAACAAACACGGTGTTAAATATAATTAGATTAAATATTTGATAATACTTTATCGCATTTGTTTTTGTTTTTTTTTTTTTTCCTTTCTAAATTTTGTTCGATTCTATCCAATTTACTATTTCAAATATACGCTTGTTATATGCATTAAACATACATACTATAATATTACTAAAACTCGACAAGCATCCTCATAAATCGAAACACCTTTATTACAGTTATTATGACTTAAGTTCAAAACAACATACATTTATTGTTACAAACGGTTTCATATTAATTAAAAGTTAAGATTATTTTTTTCAAAGTACAAAATTCAATTGGTAAAAGTCAAAGTGGGATAGGGACTTAAATTGAATAAGTGATTTTATTGGAGCTTATTTTACAATGTTAAAATATTCCACACGTTCCAGCTACTACAATCATGACAATAGCAGCACACGTTCCAGCCCCAGCAAGTTGCACGTTCAGCTCATCTTCTTCTAGACTCTTCTCCAGCTCACGTTCAGCTCACCTCAACAAGTTCACCTTTCTGATTCTAGCTTATTCCAGATCATTCTTCTAGTTGTTAGATTGTTAGATTTACTCTATAAATAGAGCAATATATTCACCTTTGTATTTGAGCTTTGATGATTAATAAATAACCTTCATATGGTTCTATCATCAAATTCCTTCAATGTGAATTTCATATTGAATTCTATCATTTTATTCCTGCAGTAAAGTAGCTTCATTTCAGTTTCTATCCTTTAGTTCCATGCTAAACGTAATCTGTTGAATCTATCTGTTTTATTCTTCTAGCTGTGATGCTGCTGGTCTTAATATGTTCTTGCTGATTTATTAATTTCAACATACAATTAAAAACACTCAAGAGTTAGAGATGAATAAAATAAAAATTTAGGGATTCAATTATTGGAAGTAAAGGATTAAATCTTATATTATATGGAGGTTTGAGAACGTAATTTGAAATTAGGGGTTAGTGGACCACAAAACCAATTCAATTCTCAAACATATCCATTTCTCACTTCACCAAACAGAAAGATGAGAAAGAAAACCAAAGCAGGGACCAAGAAACGGAGTGAAGATAGAAAAAGGGAAGAAAAGAAAGGTGAAAAGAAAAAGAAGAAAAAGGAGGAGAAGGTGCCCATTTTGGGTGCTTACTCGACCTTGAGGCGAGGAGGAGGAGATTTGAAAAGCCTATCGACTATTATAGCTCGTAGCTTGTACTTCAAGAGTGAAAACCGTTATTTTTCAAAAATAAGCACTGAATTACTTTAGTTAATAAAATTTACATGAAATGTTATTTATTATAGTGCATATTACCAATTATATAAGTTGCAAAAGTTACTTATTTCAAATGATTGAGTTAGATAGCATGATTTTCAAAAGAAAATTTGTTGACCACATTTTTCGTGATGCCAACGTCGATAACAGATATCGGGTCCACTCACTCCCAACTCGAGCAAATTTCAACGCGTTTTGATCGGAGAACCGGTATGGAGGGGGAGAGCATGAATGCAGGGATGTTTTACGTCGTGAGACAAAAATGTTCGAGCACTAACAATAATGACTGAGATGATTGCGCTAACAAACAATCACCAACAAAGTGTCAATAACTTGAGATCAAACTAATAAATGTTGAACAAGCAAGAAGACTATCAAACTTGAGATAGTGTGAGTATTTTTCTTAAATGTATTCTTGTTTATTATAATCAATATTCAAAAGACTATCCATTACAATTTACAAAAACCACTTATTTATAGGGTTCTGGCCGATGTGATGATCGTTGGATCAGAACCACATGGCCTCATCTCCTTGACTAAAGTTTCACATCACTAAGTTTATCATACATTAAATACATTAACAACTGGTCATCCGCCCTATATATTAAGCTGACACACCTCAATTCTTTATTACAAACGCTACATTAATCATTCCAAAAAATTGTCTACAAATTTTGTAAGAGACAACTTCAGCTTCTGGGACTTCGGTTGAATTGAGGGCTTCGGTCGGAGAGAGCTTCTTATTGGTGGTTTTTTGTGTGAAGAGCTTCGGGTTTTTCTTTGATTTCTTACGTAACGCTTCGGGTTAAGAGGTTTTTTCATTTAGGCAATGCGTCGACACAAGAGCTTCAACCTTTGTTTGATTTCTTTGCATTTGACCAATTGGGTCTTTGTTAACTTTCATTTCTACGTGGACTGGGACTTTACACTTTCACTAGAACCTTGCTGTTGAGGCGTGACAATAGTCCCCCAAGTCTAGGCATGATTATTTATGTAATGTATGGACTTGTATGAAAATTTTTGTTGGGGGTGGATTTTACACACCTTTCAAGAAAATTACTCTCATAATATCTTCTTGCTTGTTCTACATTTGTTAGTTTGATCTTACGTTATTAACATTTTGCTGGTGATTATTTGTTAGTGCAATCATCTTAGTCACTATCGAATGGTCTTGAACATTTTTGTCTCACGCCGTAAAGTATCTCTCGCGTTCACGCTCCCTTGAATTTGCGTAAGTGGGCCCGACATCTGTGTCCATGTTGGCATCAGAAAAATGGGGTCAATAGATTAAAAGATAGTTGAAGTGGTTCGTCTTCCCATACACGTAACTGCCACCGAATTTAATGTGTAATGATGGCTGTTATATGCGCGTCCTGCGAAATTTAGATGCGTTTGAAGCAGACGTACTAATCTGGGCCGTAGAAGATTAATCGTCCGATGTATAGAGTAGCTCAAATTTAAATCTCAAACGAACGGTTAGATGGTCTGAATCGACATCTAACGATTGGGATTAAGAGCTTCTACCTATAAAAGGCGACAGTTTGGGGGTAAAAAATCACTTTGCCATTTACGAAATCAGCAATCTAATATTCCAAATATCTCAATCTCATTTCTTCTTCCTTCACATTCGCAAATTTCAGTTACTTTTCTTCTCCGTTTCGTGAGCATTTTGCAAGTATTTTAAACTTTAACTTAAAAACTAAATGGCATCTTCACATTCTGATGGGGGGATTTTGATCTAAGCCAAATGGCTTCTGAGATGGGGATTTTGATCTAAGCCGAATGGCTTCTGAGATGGGGTTTGAGCTGTTAGGGTCGGACAGAGTGCTTTACCTACCGGAGAGGGTAAGAGAAATGATGAGATAGCTTGGGAGGCAGCCAAAATTCCTTAAACTGTAAATGCATCATACCTAGCAAACTTAAAGGAAAGGTAACGTATCTCATATGACATTGAACTTATATCCCTCTTCCATGACGAGTGTGCCTGCTCTCCGAGATAGGGATGCATCGCCATCAGAGTGTTCCTCCTTAAGGCTGGACTTCGTTTGCCTCTCCACCCTTTTTTAGGCCTAATCTTTGAAGTTCTTCTTCAACCGATGTAGGAGTTTAAACTTTTTTAGTAGTAGGTACAGTGGGTGTTGTATCCTTCTCACCCTGGCTAGGACTGACCTCTTTGGCTGCAGCATCTTCAGATTCTCCTTCAGCATCCTGACCCATGATATTGGCTAATCTCTTCTTCGATTTTATCGGCTTCATCCTTCTTATCATCTTCTTTATCCTCATTTTCATTAGATGACTCACTAGAGTGTTCAGAGATTTGTACAATGGCTAGGATAAGCGACAAGCTCTTTTCAACATCTGGTTCTTCTAAGTGTTGCTAGAGGCACATTTTTCTCAGAGGTTTGAGACTCTGGGATCTATTGGGACGGTTGAACCAGCATAATAGCCCCTTCTATCTCAAGATCTAACTGAATGGGCTCGGTGGGGACTTGGGCGCGAAGTATTGTTCATCACTGCCACGAACTCTGGTGGGTTGGTTTACTTGTAGAGATGGATGACTAACACTTACTGGACTAGCCTATGTTGCGCTTCGTTCTCGCCATTGTTCTCTGATAAAGAAAACTTAAAAGTGATAGCCCAAGAATAGCTAACCAAGAGGGGGTGAATTGATTTTTAAAACTTTTTCGAAAAATTAATCAATAATCAAGTGTGCAATAACTAGATAGATTAATTTAAATAATAAGCACGAATACAAAAACAATAAGTAAAGAGAGATAGAGAATGCAAACAGTATAATTATGGAGGTTCGATCCAACACAATGATACACGCCATCCGTTACCAAGCTCTCCGACACGAGCAAGGCCAATTTCACTATATTGATTGACTTGTGGTGCAATCCAACCCTTTACAAAGCTTCCAATGACTTACAAACAAGGAATACCGATCATTTTACAATGTTGACCTTTACGGGATCTCAATACGACCCACAAGTTTAAAGAGAATTGATTTTACAAATTGAAATTTCTCTCTTAATAAATGATATGATTACAATTAAGTACATAGAGATAAATAGGCTAACACTTTAATAAATAGCAATGAATGAAACTCAAGTGTTAGGTATGAAAAACTTTGATATGTAAAACAATTTTCAAAAGTTGATTTGATCAA